TAGATTGGTAATTATTCCAATAAATACAAAAGAAAATTCATCCAAATCTCTTTGCCAGTTCATACGATTTTGACCGTTTAGTGTCAGCTGTCTGGGAGGTAAAGATGCCCACTGTCGCCCATATCTCGCCAGAGGTGAGCATATCTTCACTCAGCCTCAATTCCAGTTCACAAGCTCATGCAGAATATTAAAAAGGCCTTAAAGGGCATCTTAATTTGTGCTAATCAATCTTTAGCTTTTCTACAAAAGGCTAAAATGTGTATGGGAAAGCCATTGTGCAGAAAAGCTATTATAGACAGTTCCATCATAAATTCATTAATTCCTCATTAATATAATAATTAATTAAAGCACAGAGCACATGATGTTCAGTACAGCTCATAGTGGTCAATAAGATCGCATAATTAAAATATCAGCCAAAGAAGCTCTTCATGACATCACCAATGCCACCAAATTGCATTAAAGACTGTGGGGGCAACCCTATGCCATCCTATCCATAACAAACCACCACAATATTAGAATTTAAAGGAAGAGATACATACATACCACTCAATTCCTATGTATTTACATATCGAGCTTCTACATATATATACCACCTTATCTATGTATGAAAAGGTGTACTTGGCTTTTTAAAAGTTGAAATGGTAGTAATTTTTAAGTGATATGAAAGAGTTAGAGTGGTAGAAATGACAAAAAGCAAAATAAAGTGTTAGATATGTAAATACATAGAAATCGGGTGGTGTGTATGTAAATGCCCCTTTTTACTAATAGCTAAAAGCAGTCTTCTTTATTAAAAAAAAAATAATAATAAGGATTATGGAGACAACACATTGAATGTTGCCAAGGCAAGAAAGCCTATTATGATTTGTCTAATTTTGGATATATATACATATATATATATATATATATATATTAAATGATTGTCACTCTTGCATAAATTTTTGGGGGTTGAAATAAGGTTTGATCACTAAAAGGCAAGCCCAAATTTAGCCCAAACATCTTAATGAGTGTTGTTAGAGTCAATGCTCGACTAAGATCGAGTGTTTCATGAGGTTTAGAGATCATATATGTTTTAGTCATCTTCTACCATGATTAAGTTTAACAGTAAGTGACTTTCACAATGGCACCACAATGGAATGGTAATTGTTGAGAAATTAGGGCGAAGAAAAATAAGATCCACACAAATACAGAAGAACACAAAGATTTAATGAGGTTCGGCAAAAGTGCCTACATCCTCGGGAGCAGAGCGGCAATATCTTTTTCAATATTCAGAAAAGAGTACATAATACAAGATTCAACTCTCTCAAAGACTTAGGATTACAAACAAATTTATTTATAATTCTAGAATAAACCCTACAGTACAATATGCAATTCCCAAATTACCCATGTACCGTATAGCCCCAACCCGCATAACGTAACTTCCCGATTTGGACAGATTCTTCCGCTCCGCTCCGTTTCGCTTCGTTCCAGCATCTGTCCCTATATGGTATATGAGTCATACCATAACAAATCTCCACCTTGGCGAATATCCAACCCCTTAGGAGAAAAGATACATGGGAGTTACACCTGCACCAATGTGGGTTAGGCCATCATGCTTCAGCTGCGCCCTCGCTGATCTCAACCCACTAAATTCCAAGAGACACACCCCTTTAATTCTAGGAGACGTCTCTTCATTCCAAGAGACTCCAAATTCTGGTATTATGAGTCATACCTAACAATTCTCCACCTTGGTGAATATCCAGCCCTTTAGGAGAAAATCTTCACCTTGCAAATATCCAATCCCTTAGGAGAAAAATCTTCACTGTTTCTTACACCGAAGTGGGTTGGGCAACCATGCCAACCTCCACCGAAAATCTCCACCTTGCGAATATCCAGCCCTTTAGGAGAAATATCTCCACCTTGCGAACATCCTGCCCCTTAGGAGAAAATCTCCACTTTACGAATATCGAGCCCCTTAGGAGAAAAATATCATGGAGTTTCTTATGAGAAATTTTGTGGGTTGAAGCAATTTTCCTGTTCGCGTCAACACCTCGGCTAAACTGATGTCCCGTGAGCGAAACCCTTCGCGAAATACCTCCGCGAAACTACTGTTCGCGAATAATCGCGTCTGTTCGCTCGCCAGCACCCTACCGAACTCCACCTGTCGCAACTCCTTCTGCGACGAACTTGCAAACTCCGCTGGTCGAACATCACCAAACTCCTATGTTTGCAAACGCTCCTGTTCGCGGTAACTGCACACGAACTCATGTTTGCTAACTCCACCTCGCCTAATGCCGCGAAGGTTCATGAACTGTCGCGTCTCGTAGTCGCGACGCTGCCTCTACCGCGAACTCGCCGAAGCATAACTCGCCGAACTGCCGCAGCTCTTCATCCAAACTGCTTCGCATTTGTTCGTTCCCGCGAACCCGTCTGTCTTGCGAACAATCCACAAAATTTTATATTTTTCTGCGCCGTAGCCAAGACTTTCTTTCTCCAGCCAAGGAAATTCAGAAAATACTTCCAAATTTTTTTCTCCGCAAGATTCCTTGTTGAGCTAGAAATTGTACTTTAATTCTGCTAAAAATCTTTTTAAATAATCCCTTAATTAATATTCCTTAATTAAGTTTCCAAGAAAAAGGATTTTTCCTTAATTAAGTTTCCCAGATAAGCAACAAAATCTTTCCAAAAAAACGAATTGAAATATTCTCTTAATTAAATATTTCATTTAATTAACTGAATTTTAAATTCTTTCCTTACTTCGGCCTCCAACAAAAGAAATCTCACCTCCGCAGATCCAACAAAGAAAATTTTAATTAAGTTTCTTTAATTAAATATTTTCTTTAAATCAACTTAAT